CCGCGGTGATTATGTTTATCTCAACAGAGAAAGAGTTGAAAATGAGGTTTAACCTAAAGTAAAGTGGCTAAATGTGAATTTTAAATAAATACAGGAAGAAAAGTGATAAAAATAATAAAAACTATCCGTAAGTATTAGAATATAAATCTAACTTAAAATGAACAAAAGATGAAATACGACAAACATGGAAGAGATGTAAAATTGAAACTAAATTGGAAAGGGTATGTAAAAATGAAGGAGACAACATTATAGAGTGCAATGTAAGGAGCGGTTCGCTTGAATTGAAAAGCGCTAATCTCAAAAGAAAATGTAACCACATTAAATCTAAAAATTTCAGTGTTAACCGTACTGAATGCGTGAAACAATCTTCTTTAGTTTTACAACGTTTCTTACATTATTTAATGTCACTAGTGCTTTTTCTGTGTCTATCAAGTCAAGTTTGATCTATCAGTTTTTGAAGATTGTCCAAACTGTACATTCTTAAAACTGTACATCCTCTTAAAGATTGTACAATTTACTGTACATTCTTAGAAATCTGAATAATCAACACTTTACTGAATAGGTTGACATCACAAAAGTGGTTTAATTGATTACATTGTACAGCAGTTGAGAAAACAAGCTCCATGTACATGTACATTGACCAATATAACAGGAACATCAAAGTCACATCATATGGATATCCTTGACTGTGCCTTTCTTGTTTTTCAAGTTTGCTTTTGGATACTGTAAAAGAAAGAAATGAACAGTGGAAATTACTGCTTTGGTTTTCATAGAAATTGCCGTGCAAAAACATAATTATTTGCCTGAAAACGAAACAAATTTAATTTGTATGACCAAAGGTTTCACTGCTTAACACTGAAGTCATTTTCAAAACCATATTCCATTGCAACATTATGTATGTTTTTACAATAACAAAGGGGAGATCCTGTCTTCTCAAAAACCTCTCAACAATTTTTTCACATCTAAAAGTTTGTATTTTTTGTTTGCATGCTTACGTTTGCACTATCTGGAAAGAAACGTCAGTTGGTTTTCACAACTTCTCTTTACATTTTGCTATTGTGGTGGTGAAAACACACACACAATATTCCTTGATGCATAGAAACAAGGCTTCACCGGTTCCCATTGTGCTGCGCAACTGCCAAAGAAGGCGTGATGGTAATGCTGCAACCAGTCCACACATCCTGGTCAAAATAACATTGTACAATTTACCATACACAAATGCAACTCTACAGCTGCACATCAAAAAAAGAATGATGTCGCAGGAAAATTTCTACAAGTTAATTCCCAGAACTTGGTCTGTTGTCTATATATGTATTTTTTGTGTTCACAAATTTAAGTCGAGGATATATTGCTTGTAGTTGACAATCTGCCCGATGCAGACTTGATGAGACACGACACGTAAAGTTTTCATCGGTGTCCATGGGAGACAACATTAAACTGTTATTGTTAGAAAATGATATCAGCCAACATATCAGTACTCAGGTCGTTCACACATGTATGAGCTGTATGAACGACCAATGAACAATGTATGTGGCACACGAGCCAAGCACATTAGGCCTACAGCAAGCATATCACGGCCACGCAAACTGCAAAATCATACCATGAACTGCTGCTGCACTGGTGATTTGAAACATGAGTCAAATGTGATGAAAGTTTTGAAAATGTGGCAATGTTCCTCAAATGACCACTGTCCCACTGGGCCATCGTTTATGGAAAATGCAGTGGCCCAATGAATTTTATAGTGGCCCCTGGCCAGCAGAACACCATTAATTTCGATTCCTGTAAACAAAAAAAAAATTTCATTCAACCTGTAGGTAAAATACCTCCCATTAAAAAGAGGAAAATTTCAAACCTAAATTGCTTCCAATACATTAAAACATTGCCCATCATCATTTCTCAAAGTTTAAAAAAATAAGAAAACACAAGGCCACGCTTACATGCAGGGCATCATTACTCCGACAAATTCAAGTTGGAAGTGGACATATATATGTATATATAAAGCATAGCGATTGCCAAAAAAAGAAACCTACAAATTTGTGTTTGAATGAACATGTAACAATTTTTTTCTAATGTTAACTGGGAAAAAAAGTCAGGAGAGTTTCCAAAAATGATAATCTACATACTTTGTCTTGAAAATGCACTAAAATCAGCACTCACTGCAAACCATGAACACCGACACCACAGAGAAAATCACAAAAAGCAGTCCGCATCCAAAAATGTACATCAGCAAACAATGAAGCCACCACACATAGATGGCCATGTTGACTGGCCACAATGGATCCCCCAGTAGCCATTGGAAAAATTACAGCACACTTTATCACTTGATAGTGAAATGCGCCCAACACTAATGATCTAACCTCAGTCTTTCTAAACTACTTCTGATTCAAATTTTTCTAAAATATCACAAGCGTACACAGTACCCCTTGTTGTTCCCTACAAATATTGCTTTTTGACGAGAATAATATGGTTTTCAAACTCTTCACTGACGTGTATATCACAGAAAATTTAGTTTGATTAATGTCAACATAACTTGTTGTGCCTATGGCAATATATCATATACACGTATGTCAATAATGACAGGACAAATAGAAATGCACAAATATTTAGACAATTCATCTTTAACATCACCATTAAACGTCGCACCATTGGGGGCACAAAAAATCAAAACTGATTTGCCTTTCGAGTCAAAACTACTAGTAGAAGGGAAGGCCACTGAGGAGAATAGTAATTTCAGTTCTTAGAATCCTACTTTGAATTAGAACCCAACTAGTTCTAACCCAATGTGAACCCAATTTTGTGTAGTTCACACACACATTTTGCTCAAAATCACACCCACTGTACAAATTTTAAAACATAGTTGCACAGGCCTCCTTTTTAGTGCGTCCCCATGCGACAATGGTTGTGTCCATTTTCGTGAGACTTGTCTGTTTTTGACGGAGATTAATAAATTTCACACCAACAAATGATTGATTCATAAAACCTACAAGAACCCAGTAAAAATGGTTAGGTGAGTATTGTATTTGGTAACCACATAAACACCAGGGTCATGACAGTATCAAATGTTACAAAAGAAAAACTATAATGTTTCTAGGTATGTTGTAGCCCTATGTGTTTAGGTTAACTTTAAAAGTCAACAGAGAAAAAGAGAATTAAAAACAAACCAGGTAAAACTACATATCTATAGATAAAAACACTAAGAATAATTGAAATAATATGAGTAAACAAACCTAAGAATATAAAGTAAGCAGAGTATCAATTATAAATTTACAATAAAACATTCAAGGGAGCTGATTTTTAAAATTACTTACACTTGTTGGGATGGGATGCTTTAACGCCACAGGCAGTTTGTTCCAAGCCTGCACACCTCAAAATTGGAATGTTCTCTTCCCAAATTCTGTACATGGGTGAGGGCAGAGCGGGTCCCTCTTGGCAGTCGGTGCAATTTAGGCATCTATAATCAGCAGACGGTATGTGTTGTGGCCACGCACGATGGATATGTAAAGATGTGGTAAGAATATTCAAGGAATATCAACTGCAAACATGCAAGATACTGCATTCCTTGTGCATGACACTGCCAAATGCTCCTTACATTCAACTGTGCTCATGTATATCCAGTCCAATATTCTGCATGCCAGCTGACTCGTAGCCACACATTTACATTCCATATAAGGCCAGAGAGTTCATCCAGTTGCCAAACAAAACCAGTTTTGATTGGATGCCAGATTCTGAATGCTGTACTACTCGATTGGAAGGCACTTTGATAGAAACTGCACTGCCATGCCGACCGTCGTGCAAACACGTAAACCTTCACGCACACACACCTAAGCATGTGTGTGTACATGTACAATGTAAAGTACATTTAGTTGTCACTAAACGCGGGCGCAGTAGGTAGGCCAGAGCAGATTTGATGTTTGGAGGTGTTACTCACGGGTGCGGTAGGCCTGCCTGAGGGGTGACTTTGACTCAGATTTGGCTCATTGAAGGTGGAACCGCCGATGGTGGGTACCCGGTTCTTCACAAAAGCGGAGCCGTCGATGCAGATTTTTCTTTGAAACCATGATTTGATCCACTGGGAACGCATAATGGTCATTATGTGTACAACGGTGCGTGCTGTGGGTGTGTTACACACGTACCAACTGTCCGTATTGGTGACACTATGTCCCAACTCTCTTATACACAGCTCTGGGTATGACCAAAGCATGAAAACAGCATTCGACCCCCTTCTTAAAGGAATGACCCACATTCATGTGCTATTTTACAAATCTTATTGTTATACCACAGTCATAGATAGCAAATTTTTATTGGTTACACGATATGCTACAAGTGCTCATGTATCATTTATGCGTTGAGTGCACTGGCGATTTTGCCGGGCCACAAAAAATGATGGATAACAGTAATCTCTCCCACAGTTGATGTGTCGTGTCTGCTGCATTGTAATTGTGCAATCTTGGGTACGAGGATGGATAGCCACAGTGGTACTACGCATTAATAATTGTAGGAGATGTACTGTGTGGGGGACATTGAAGCACTGTGTGCATTCACGTGTGCTACTCTCTTCACTCTGACCATGATTCAAGCGTATAGATTATTAGACTACTGTCCATACACCCAGCTGTAAATATGCTCTTGGAACACGAGTTTACTCTGATCACTGTTTTTGCTGCGATCATCAAAGTTGTTTATATAAAACACTCATGTTGTTCTTTCTCGTCTGCTCTTCAATCTTGCGTCTAGTTTTCAACAAAAATTTGTGTAAATAATGTCTTAAACTTTTATAATCATTCAACAAAACCCAAGCGCTTCATGAATCAACAGTTTCTCTAGTAAACCACTTTGTTATAAATCCTAGATTTCTCCCTCCTCCTCCCCCCCCAAAACAAAAACACAGCTCAACAAAGGACACCACAATCAATACATTTTGTAATTTAAGATCCAATTTGCTGGTCAAGTGTTTCAATTTATCTTTGCATTAAAATATGCATACATTAAACACACAAGACTGTTCCAGTGTAATCTTATAATGACCATGACATTACAAAACAATTGTTGCCTGTTCTACAGGCAACGCTGGGTTTTGTCCATGGGTTTTGTGCATCCTCAAGGGCAAATGGCACCATTGGCTTCTTTTCGAGTGCCATCTACAAAACACCATGGACCCCTACACTGCAGATAAAAATTAACTCTTAAGTATATACAGTGCATGGTACTTACCTTTAACATAATTGTCCAGATCTCGACCATAAGCCTTAAGCAAAAAGCAAAGATTGGCAACTGCAAATTCAAAGTGTCGAGGGTTTGCAACAGTTAGTGAGGCATGGCAGTCTTGCACAGACTTCCAAAGGCTGTGTTTGTCCTTGCAGTTGGATGTCTTGGAAGGGGGTTGGGATGAGCCAGGGTTGGAGTGGGTGTAGCAGCTCTTGGTCTCCTGCTTCAAAGTCTGATTTAAATGGAAAAAAATACAGTTTCATGAAACCTGGCGAAAAAAGTAAAAGTACTAAAAAGCTTCAAATATTTCAATATCTCGGGTTTCGGAGAGAGCTGCCACTCAAAAACCAATATACAATAAATTCACAAACCAAAAATGAAGACCAGAGAAATGAAAGGCATGACTTGCCCAATTTTGAAAATGCGAGGTCAAATTTTGTGTTTGTATAGGTTTGATGATGTAACATGGGAAATGCACAACAGGCATGCATGTAGATACTCCATGAGCTGGCTTTGTCGTGCCCCAAATGCACTCAAATGAGGAGTTTGACGATGTGTAGAAAATACACAACAATATTAGACAATATTCAAGACATATAAACCTTGATCTTACTCTTAGCTGGCCAAAATCAGGGTTCTAGCCAGGATAACTTGAAAAGAAAGGATAGGGGCACCTGTCCAAGATTGAGCCTGCGAGCATGAAGTGAAGTACTCATGGTGTGGGGTCCAGGGCCCGCTCAAGGGCCCCAGAAAAATTTGCATTCTACATGTAGATGCTCTGTGGTGCAATCTCAGGCCATTTAGAGGAACAATTGATTATGGGAAAATGAACAATCCTTTAAAATTTGAGCTGTTCTATTGTAATTGTTCATTTATTTGGGCAATGTGTTTATCGTTTGGTTCTGAATTCACAGTGCAGTAATAGTTTAAAAGAAAGGTCACACTTTAGCCAGCATTTGTTGTCTTTCAAAATGGAAAATGAACAAAAAATCCTCCAAAACTGTAATTGTTTGTTTGGGCAACGCCTTCATCATTTTCTTCTTGAGTCATGGTGAAGAAAAAATGTTACACAATAGCCAGCACAAGACATCTTAAAAATGGAATTATTACATCAATCATACCTTTCCATCACATTTTGACTCTACACCGACTGGTGTGGTGACTTTTTGTCACAGCTCAATTTAGCAATATAATTACCCCTCCAGTTACTTGGCATTTGCAAGTAACAAAACATGTATGGCATAATTTGTTTTACAAAATATGAATCTGCATTAACAATGTTGGCTATGTGGATGTGTCACAGACTGTGTGTGCAAGTACAAAATCCTTGGTTTGTTCATGGATGCAGATTTAAACTTCCAATCACCTCTGTTTCCTTTGGCTCCACATGGAGGCAGTTTGTCAAAATCAAATGAGGCACAGTCTGGCCCTTTGATCCCTATGTAAAGAAGATTATTCAAAGTTTTCCCTCCGAATCGATTTTGTGCTTGTCTTTACCTGTTTCATCGTAGAGAATCCACGCTCACAGTCTGCTGTTGTTAAATAAAATTAATAAGAATTAACAGTTGGGGGACCACGTGCAATTCAAAACAGAAAAATGTACATTTCTACCTGGACAATCTCACTGAAACAACCGCAGGCCAACTTTGCCTGTCTATTGCAGCTTAAATGACTGCTTTTATTCAACCACTAAACATGTCACAAGCAATCAACTAGAATTAAGTATGTTTCCTTGTCAATACAGAAACGGCCACATCTTGCCCAAAATATGTGTATCTTTTACATGAACATCAAACAGGCACCCAGCACGCTTGCTACAGCTGCTACTGACAAACCTTGGGCATGCTTACACAAAGGGATGAAAGTATCACAATATATACCAATACCTCCAATACGTTTGCTACAGGAGTAAAGGTC